GTCTCTTATGCGTCGGCGGCAAGCGGTTGGTAAGTTTTATTTACATATAAAATTTATTGTTCTTGTTCTCCACTGGTATTTGTCAAATGTCTGCTGGTTATTTTTACAGTGAGTTTAGGTAGCGATGTAACGGTCCGTGTATTTGTGTTGGAAGTTATTGCTATTGCATTGAAGTTCGAACAGTTCTCACATGTTTACCCATTTTCACTTAGTTTGAGAGTAGTTTAAACCATTTCTGTCACTATTTTACAAACGATATTTTTTTCATCATATATATTGTTCAATGAAAACACTGAATGATTTTTGTTGAAGCCTGCGTTCAAGGTACCAGTTACCATTTCAGTGTTTCTTTACATCTAGTCTATTCATTGTGTGCTTAATAACAATCGAATTCAAATATGGTTGTTACTTCCTTCACTTTTTTTCCGTAGTACACCTTTATTTCACAGTTTTTTGCAATAGTTTATACTCGATTGTTGTTCATTCCGTTAGTTAGTTTTTAAGACTCATCCAGTTTTACATACAGTAGGCGCTTTTTTGTCTTTAGAAATACAATAAAAGCTATACAATTGGATTACCTAGTTCACAGAACACAGCACTATCAAAAACATTTCAACACTCAGATGTATATGATCTATGGTTTATAACGTTTCATATTCTGGGATCTGCTAAAGCGCCGATAACAGGTCTCGTCACTATCTGTTCTGTCATTTCGTAGTATTATTTTTCAGAAGAATTGAGTCTAATACATCCGTATAGTGTGACGAATTTAGTCAGAGAAACGATCATTGATAATTTTTGTCAGATCTTGAAGCACTTAAGCATTAGACTTTAAAATTTGTTTTCACTCGGTCAGATCGTAAATCTGTTATTGGCTAAGTGTTCGATATATTCATCTTTTACAGTGGTAACCGGGAATACTAGCGATACAAATGATGTTGATGAATGGGAAACAGCATCTGAAGGGTCATTTTCCTCTGAAACTATTAAGAACTCGTCAAAGCCGCTGTCAGATGCAAACAAACGAAAAGATTTTTCCGAAATATCTACTTCTTCCCACCTAAAAAATGATGTAAAGACTTCAAAATCATCTTCCACAGTTACAAGAGGCAATCCATCCAGCTGTCATGTTGCTGAGGCAACTATTAATCATCGTCATCATGACAATGATGACACAGAAGGGGGTAGGTGTGCATGATATACTACGTTCCTCTTAGACACTTTAAATCTTGTTTAGTAGCGTCGTTTTACCTTTCAGACGCTAGTAGTAATTGCATGTAATCAAAGTTTGCATGCAAACTGATAGAATCACATTGTTGACTGCTTAATCACAATAGGTCGATATGTCTGTCGTTTTGATGGTGTATGTTTGACATTGAGTCAAATCGTAATGTGATTAGGTTGTTTGCAATCTTATTTACAATTCTTATTATTTTTTACAGTTTTCCCTGTGAAAATCAGTATTCATGGGTTATTAATATTCTTTAATATTTTGTCGTATTATTACTATATAAAGTTTCTTTAATTAACTCATTTGTTACCTTCATGTTGAATAATTATTTATGACAAGTCTAGACTGTTCTAAGCGTTGGTATTACTTTACTAACTTTTCCCCAGGTACCAGTCCAAGATCTGCTGCTGGTGGGATTGCTTTACAAACAGAATGTTCTAAAGTCTCTTCTTCCCCATCAGTTATTAGTGGAAATGTCCAGAAAAATGAAAAGTCTCAATTATCAGGTGGAAGTTCCACAAACCAACATAGCGCTTACCGTAGTACCACACGTGACTCTCGATATGGAACCACTTTTTACCACAAAAGAAATGATATATCCTCAATACCGCCTTTAATGTCTATTAAGCCTCATGTCTCATTTCCCGAAAATTCTTATGCTTTGGATTCCTTGTCTACATGGACTAGTCGTGCAGAGCGAAAAAAAGAAACACTCTTCAAGGATGATTCCGATAAGTTCTCGCAATCAGGTAAAGAGTTCGATGAGTTAAATCAAGACATTTTTGAAGAAGATACTCCACATGGGGATGGGTTTACAAAAGTTGTCTCAAAAGCAAGCAAGTATTTTGCACGTCGACGAATGCAGCAAGAAGTTTCAGTTTCTGGTGTCTTGAACACAAGAAAGTCAAATACTTCCTCTAGAAATATTGGTAATGTAAGCCAAGTATATTCCAGGGAGGGTTCAACTTTAACTACCACTCTTTCACAAAACTATGTACATACAAGTGACCATAAAAGTCAGTCAAGTGGGCTGTTGAGAAGTTTGTCAGGTAAAAAGAAGTCTCTCCCAACTAAAGTAAGTTTTATGGGTCCACCATTATGTTTAGACGCAACTTCATCACTATGCACCGTTACAACTTCTGTTTTGTCTGGTCAAACTAACCAACCAGTTCCTTGTAGTAGCAGTTTGTCATCAACACCTACATCATCTGTGCTGCAGAAGATTTCTTTTTCAACTACTCGTACATGGTCAAAAGTTGTTGGGACAAAGTTTGCGAAATCTCCACCTGAAAACCATGGTGACTCTACAAAAACATCATCAGTTTTACTCAATTCAAATTCAGTCTGGCAATCAGAACATTCAAACCACGTAATTACTGAGGAATCCAATGAAGACAAAAAGTTATTAGACAACACAGCCGCTACAACAACCAGTAACACGGATCCAGTGGTGAACTCCTCTTATGCTTCCATGCAGTCGTTATGGTCGATTGGTGATAGCATACCTCAAGCTAACAAAAATCATTCAAATAATAATACTTTGCTCTTGGCTAGTAGTACAGTTCAGGGTACGGTTGTTCCTTCTGCTGGTCCGCTATGTACTGTTAGTCCTTCAACTACATTTTCATCTCAAATTTCTAATAACATTTGTAAGGTCAAACCTCAACAACAACAGCTTCTTCAGGTTACTTCCATCTCACCTCTTGTTTCGACTTCTATGCACTTGAATCTTCTTAGCCCATCTAATAATAATATTATTGAGAATATCTCCACTGCAGATTTGATAGGAGAAACAGAAAGATCTGACTTCGAATGTTGTGGTGACATTGGACGCTCTAATGCCCTTTTAAGACCGCCTATCTCAGATTTAACAACTTTATCCAGTAATTCTTTTCAGTCTTGGTCTTCCTCAAATGCTCTATATACACCATTCTCTTTATCTAATGTTCCTATAAATCGTCATGAAAGCAACATGTTTTCCGGTAACGTTTGGCCTACAGCTGATCAAAGTATGGATGTGAATATTAATTGCATAACAGGTTCGTATAATGCTAATTCTAATCAACCACACTTTCAAAATCAAATGAGTTCTAATATTCTTTCAAATGTTTTAACTCACAATAATACCGTCCCATCATTGGATAGTATGACTAAGCAGTCGACTATGTCTATCACACCTAGGCAACAGCACATACAGTCTTATCAAAACTCAATATTGACACCCGCAGATAGAGTAAACATATACTCCAGTGGTCCATATGGAAATAACTCGGCAGAATTAGGAAAACTATCAAACAACATATGTATTCCGTCTCAACAAATGACTTTTGTATCTGCAGCGCCTTCATTATATGTTCATCCACAGTCAACTACAATTCAGCCGGCACCTTCTCGTTCTTTTCACCATTCCTTGTCAATTCCGATTCAGTCACAAATGAGTCAAGCTCGGAAATGCAGACAACAGGTACCACATCAAATGGATCCATCCACATTCACTGCTGGGTATTCGAGTTTTCCCACGGACGTAAAAGTATGTTTATTTCTCTTTTGAGCCTTTATGTTAATGATTCATAAATGATTTTATAAACAAAGTTTCGTGCTGATATAATCTATTGTCAGTTTTACACCAAAATCCATTTTGTCACACTAAATTGCTATCTTCTACCTGTGGTTATGTCAGCACCTGAGTGAACAACTACTGTTTATGCGTTCAGTCTTGTAAGCAATTTCATTCTTATCCCTTTTAGTTGAACCAACGAATTTTAACCCTAATATTATTAAATTTTCAATCAAAACTAGTACAATAATGTAACTTATCTAAGCATTCTGATCTATAAATGCGCTAATGATTTGATTTTTATTTGTAGTGTTTTATTTTAATTTCAGAATGAATACAATTTCCCTCCATCTATTGCTGGTTGTATTCCACCTCCTCCTTCTGTTGGCTTGTATTCAGCCATTCATCAGTCTAATTACCCACAGAATTCAGGAAGACATGCAATCGGATTTCCGACGACTGTAAATTCGTATTCTCTTCTTGGAAACCCTTCTGCTACTTCTAACCTTCAAGCCGCTGGACAACCATTCGCCCCAGCGATCGGACCAGCTCCTGGAAACGGTGGAGGTTTATTACCTCACCCTGTTCCTCAGGGTGGATACAACAATACACCTTGTCATTTCCCGACACCCATCACTTCGAATTCTGTCTCAAATTATGCCAATGCTCCTAACTATGTAGGCGTGATTGGAGGAGGGCGTCCCAGTACTGACCATTCAAATGCTACTGTTCGACAAAGAGGTTTACAGCATCACAATTTATTCCCCCATCCAAACCTCCCACAGTCACCCTCAGCGCAAGGACAACAGTCCTTTCAGTTGCCATCCAGTTTTTATCCGTCGATTTCACCATCGCATCAACGCGTATCACTTCAGCAGTTTGGAGGTACTTCTCGTGCAGCAATCACTGGACCAATTAATCCGCAAAATGGACTTTATGGTCCAGCATTTGGTGGGGCTTCTCATCCACCAAATCAAGCCACTCCACCTCCTATCGGACATCAGTTGAATCCCATAGGTTTTTATAGTAATCCGTTCCAATATCCATCTCGTCCAGGTAAGGATTTTGGGTTGAACATAGTTATATCTAACATGTCGTATCATCTTTGTTTCCTTTTCGAGTGGAAAATGCCTTGATTGTTAGTGTAACACAGTCACATTTTATGACATTGTCTGTCATTGAAAGACGTACTTCAAAAGTACATAAACCTTGTGAAGGCTCTTTACTCGAACACTAACAACTTATGGCGAACTGTCATCTGATTTTGCAACCTCAAGTGGTGTCCGGCGAAGCTGTCCACTTTCTCCATTTCGGTTTAATTTCATCATAGACTTACTCATGGAAATAACGTTCTTATCGTTTGAATTTTCAGGAAAGGACCTACCAGTAGGTCCTCTTATTGACTTATTATACACAGATGATGGTGAGAAAGTTGATAAAATGCAGAGTCTTTTGGTAGCACTGAGCAACAATGCCAGGCTGTTTAGGATGCGTTCCTGCCCATCTAAATGTAAATTGTTACTTCAGGACTGGCATGCATCAACAACTTCATTTATCTTGAAAGTTCGGTCAGCCCTTATGGGTTGGTGTCTGACGAAAGTCTGTTTGGCTTTTGCTAACTTAGATCATCTATGGCGAAGGCGAGATATCCGTCTATCAATTAAACGATGAGTATACTGAGAAACATTTCGTTTTGTTTTGCTTTACGGCTGCGGAACATGGCCATTAAAGGTTGAGAATACCAGTAAGTTACTAGTATTTGATCACAGATGTTTTAGAAACATAGCTCTCATCTGCTGGGATCACCGAGTGGTAAGTAATGGTAAAGTTAGATGCAGGGTATTGGGGAATGATAGTAAATCAGTCGATGAGGTTGTGAATCTCCATCGACTGTAATGGTTGGGCCTGAAAACCGTTTACCACGAATTGCAATTCTGACCAGTGTTGGAGACTATGGGAAGATAGTTGGGGGTCGCCAAACCAAAACGTGGCATCAGTGCTTGAAGTCACTTATTTCTAGTCGCGTGACTATCGTAACCAATGGTTGGAGACTCTTGGTGACATGGCTCAAAATCGGTCACAATGGCGTCGGTGTATACACCCTCTATCTTCCCTTAATCTATGAGATTAAAATCGTTTTTATGTCTTTCTTTCTACGAACCAATTCTTTTTTTCTGTACTATATCCTTACATAAGATCTTTTGTATATTACACCATTGAGTTAACTGATTCTATGAATCCGGTGTTCATGTTGTTGTGCTAATGCGGTATGACAACTTGGACCGGTGCATATATGTGCCTGGTGCTACGTTGTGGCTGACTGATACAAAGATTTTGGTTTTTAGCTTAATACGAAAATAGTTATAAATTTATCGTGTAATGTTGCTTCACTTCCTCAGTTTTTCTTATTAGTACAATGTATATTTGTGATTCCACTTCAAATAAGTTACCTATTTCTTTTTTCACCATTTCTTACATTCTTTACAGACGGACTTCACTGACAAATCATCCGTACAATGTGTTTTTTGACTTTTATTGTGGAGAATTATTTTCCGAGTTTTGTGCTTCCATCCTTACTATATATCGTATGATCGTACTGTAGTCTTTTCGCATTACAATTTAAGAGTGGTCAATACTTGTCTTAAAATGCACATCATTTTTGTAGATCAACTGTAGTAGTCTTGACCAGTTTTTCTATAAACAGGATATTTTCTTTTGATTTTTTGCTTGTGTCAATTCTATGTCTCTTTGAGTTTTTATTAAATTAAATGTTTGACTGTAAATTCTGTGTTTCTTATGAATCCTTGTCATGTTATACATTGTCTATTAAATTGTTAACACAATAGCTTGTGTTTCCGATTGATTGCCTTGACTAGTGGTGATTTTATTGCTCTTTCTCTATTTTTCAACTTGAGAATCCCATATAATTCTTCTTGTCTGTCTATGATTTGACAATTGATCTGCAGTTTTACATATTATCATTATCATCATTTATAATTGTTGTACACGTTCCCCTTCTGCCCATCGGCTAACTTGATTGGTTATTCTTGTAAACAGGATATATACATATATTTACAGATATATGTCGTTTACATTTGCCTGATAAATTTGTTTTGTTAGTTATACTACTTAAAGTTGGTTAGTTGCTAGGAAATAAATTCGTTTAGGTTATCGTATAAAGGTCCGTTTGTAGTGTTATTCTCCCGGAACTTCCTCCTAGTTTGACAATTTCATCCTATGATTATTGTTCTCTTGTATATCATGGATGACTAGTTTCTATTTTAACGATGTAATGTTGTTTGCTTTTAGGCTCTTTGCGTTTTCATATTGCCGTATTCGAAATGTTTGCTGTAGATTCTCCTCTATCTGTAAATGTATGATTGGTTGGCATCCAACATAACAGTTGACATTTGACATCAGGTTACTGTAATAATAAAATTCAAATCATGCTTATTGAAACCGCTGAAGTCATATGGTGGACTGCACCATTGTAAGCTCAACTTCTTTAAATTAAATTAACACTGCCGTTTAGTAAATGGTTTTAATGAGCATAAATTGCTCTAAATTTCGGATTATGAACTAATTACTTCATTTCATAGTAATAGAAAGACTTGTTAAAAAAAAGTTCTGAACGGTTCGGTTTTCTTATGGATATCATATTCGTCTCCAAAATGTCTAAGGATTAATCTTCGGAGTTTTCTTTTTAGAGAGCTGTTTATTTCTTAGTCTGGTGTGAACGGGTAGAAAACCTGGATGGTTTAGTAAACTAGTATGAGCATTCTATAAATTCCAGGGGTTTTTCGTAGGTGGTCGGTAGATATACAATCAATTTCATTTTGTTTATTGGTTAGTTGTTTGTCAAGTAAGAAAACACGGCGTATGTCATTGAAGCAACATATACTCATACCAACAGATCGTTCTAATAATTAAGCTTTGTTATTGTTAACAAGACCTTAGAAGTTCCTCAGTCTTGGTGTGCCGACATCCGTCAGAATGTTTTCGATTGCTATCTTCTCTGAGTTAGGTGGTTTCGTACCGAAGTTCTCATTGTCCTTTTGAACATAATTGTACTCACTTCATGCAAAAGAATGCAACGACCAAAAACTTGCTAGATCTGCAAATCTTCGCTATTTAATATGTATTTAAATCACGAAGACGCGATTCCCGTTCATATTAAAGCCCGTGCAATACTCAAATATTTTCCAAAAGACCGAATCCTAGTCGACTTTAATGTTAAACTTTAGATTATGTACTTTTCAGTTTTCCGATTTCAGAATAACTTCTACCCATAACATGCACTCATGTGTTGATACTGTCGGTTAAACCTTCGTGATTCCTTTGATCTCTACACTTTATCTATAATCAAGTGATGATGAATTTGCTACTTCAAAGCAATGTATTTCGTAGATAGGTTTTGAATATGCGATATTCAAGTTTGGTGGTAACATTCCTCAGTTACTTGCCCGTGTATAACAGTCTATTGACTAGTTTAGTCCAGCCGAAAATCGATTCTAAATATAATAGTAATCTTATAGGAAATTGTTGTGCTACCTAATTACCTATTTTTTGTGACCGATAGTTCTGTTATCCCATTCGTAGGGTGAACTACAAATAGAAGATTTGATATTTGTAACATGTTTTCATCAGCAACATCTGGTAAGCATTCAGCTATTTTCTGATAGTGAATGCGTTACCCTGAGTTAATGTCCAAGCTCGTATCTACTCTTGAACCAATCTCTGGAAATCCACTCGCAGGGTTCTCTTTCGTTTTGTGCATCAATTGTCTAAAGTGGTCATTAAGTTAGTTGATTAAGATATAAATTATTTGTAATTTGATTTCAGTATATAATTTTCGTGCAGTACAGCAACTAAAATATCAGGTTTTTTTTGAGGTAGTTGGCAGAACTCCCTGATCCTTTGTCATTTACTACTATTTGGTGTCCCTTTGTACCAATATCTGTGTTCAAAGAAATAAAAATAAAATTCAACTCAACTAGTATGTACATTTCGAGATGACAGGATTTCATCACCGCTAAAGCGTACTACACAAGTTTGTCATTTGTCGGATCAGTTAATTTAGTTACATCGATATATTCATCCTAAACAAAATCGAATTCGCACAACCCGTCGAACTTTCAAACCCAGTGCTGTTAAGTCAGGCTCCATAAAAACTCGTTCGGCATGATTACGACAAAATTCCTGCATCATGAATGATAAAAATGGATTGTCAACCTGAAGATCAGGTTTTCTATTTATGTACCATCTTTTGTGAATCATTTGTTTCAACATGCAAATACTTACTCATGAGTAGTTTCTTGAATTTCTCAATCGAATGTGTTATCACTTTCAACTAGATCAACTAATCGTGCACATTTTTAAACTTACATTCTTTGATTGGAAATAATGATAACTCGTTAGTTGTTTATTGTGATTCCACTTTCATTCTTGAACAACTATTCAATGTTATTTTGTAAGTTAATCAGTATCTCGATAGAACAATGAGAAGACGGAGTTTATCTGAAAAATGTGATGTATTTGCGCTATACATTTCGAACAATCTGGTCACACATATGCTTGTCAAGGCATTTTTATATAAAACGGACTAATTGCTTTAAAGTTAATCAGTAGTAATTTTACAGATCTGCATTTTTCTATCCATGGTAATATATATTGGATAATGTGTTAATGAATCACTCCCTATCACACCCGAACTAATGATAGGGAGTGAAGTAGTTGAGTGTGTCGACCGCTTCACTTATCTTGGAAGTCTCATCAGCCCTTGTGGTTTAGTGTGTGACGAAATCTCTGCACGGATACAGAAGGCTCGACTAGCTTTTACCAACTTGCGTCATTTATGGCGTAGGCGAGATATCCATCTATCAAACAAAGGACGTGTTTACTGCGCAGCAGTTCGTTCCGTCCTACTTTATGGCAGTGAAACATGGCCGGTAAGAGTAGAGGATATTCGTAGGTTACTAGTATTTGATCATAGGTGTCTTCGAAACATTGCTCGTATATCATGGGACCATCGAGTAAGTAACACAGTTGTTAGGAAACGGGTACTATGTAAGGATGGCAAATCAATTGATGACGTAGTGAAACTTCATCAGTTGAGATGGCTGGGACACGTGTTACGTATACCCAACGACCGACTGCCTCGACGTGCTATGTTCAGTGGTATAGGAGTAGGTTGGAAGAAAGCTAGGGGCGGTCAAACCAAAACATGGCACAAGTCCATGAAGTCACTGACAAGTGAACTGAGTCATGTTGGTAGGTGTAGACTACGTGGTTGGGGACCGCGAGATGACAGCAACCGATGGTTAGAGACCCTGAATGACATGGCTCAAAATCGTTTGCAATGGCGCAGGTGCATCCACTCTCTGTGTTCTCCCAAACTCTAATCTTCTGAATTCTTCATGTCCCTTTTTTCCTCTTTCCAAATTTCTTTCACTGGATTATACTCTTTAAATAACATCTCCAAACCCTAATCTTCCCGATTACTGCTTATACTCTTATTACCTCTACCACTACGGGATTTGAATCGACAAGTGCATCTCTGTGCTAATGTGGTGTGGCAACTCGAACTGATGTACGTACGTACGAAGTTCTACGTTGTTACTGACTGACTGACTAATGAATCATATTGTTTTCTAATGTCTAATCCATCGAGACTTTGTATTTGATCGTCATCCCATGAGGGGATTGTAATATAGGATGTAGATATTTAAAAAAAAGGCGATTACCTAATTGAAAAAGACACTTCGAAAATTATTTACGATTACGATATGTTATATCTATTCATGATAATCTTAAGATTTGTTGTTTCAACTTAATATCATGTTTCAATATCATAAACTTAGTTTGATTGTAACAGATGACATCATTTTAAATGCAAACTGGAACTGTTTGACTAACCAATGACTAATTGATCACCGTCCTCATGTATTAGCGTAACCTTTTAAATTAAATGCTTCTTGTTACGTTCTTAATCCATCCAC